CAGGAGGCAGAATAATAAACCACATCAGAGTATGGACTTTGAATTGAGAGAGACCTAATTCCAATCCCATTACTGAGAGCTGTATGACCTTTGACAAGTTGCCTACCCACTCTGAGCCTCATCTGTAAAAAGGGGATAATCGAGGTTTGTCCAGGAAGATGGTGGAGTCAGCTTGTCAAATCCCTGAACTTAAGCATGACAGAGACAGACAACTCTGGGAAGACGTCTTGTTAGGCAAAGAGTCCCCTTCTCACATGACAGGAGGAGGGTATGCACAAAGGCTGACCCTTGATATGTGGGACACACTCAGGTTCCCAGAAAGGTTACCATCACCCAAGGACTTGAAACGAAAGTTGAGTGGAGGGAGGACTGACGGATGAAATGAATATATATATATATATTCTACAAACGCACCCCCATGGGAGTGGTTTCACTCATATTATCTCATTGAACCCCACACTACCCTGCCAGGTGGAAAGCACGGCTTCATCATTCCCGTTTTGTAAGCAGGACCTCTGGGGCTCAGGAAGGTGGTGGCATTTGTCCTGGTCATATGTGGAACAGTGGCCCAGCTAAGCTTTGCTCTCCAGGCCCTGATTTTGGAGCCCTAAGTCCTCAGTACCTTGTAACACTGCTTCCTACCTGAGGGGCTGCCATCCAGGGGGCTCCCAAGTGGCCATCCTCTGCTCAGAGTTTCTGTCCTGAGCCACTGGCCATTGCAGTTCTTTGAATCCCCACTCCAGGTGGGCCCTGAATTGGACACAGGAATGGATAAATGAAACCCATCTCTGTCCCCAGGGTGCCTAATCTGAAGGAACACACACGAAAATGAGCGATTATACACCAGCATCGTCATGAAGCAGCACGGTGATTCCAGCCTCCAGCTTTCCTTTTAAGGGACAAGATGGGCTATTGGGAATATAGTTTCCAGTATTTAATAACGAAGTGAACATTTTCACAGTTACTACTTGCCAGAGATTGTGCTAAATGCTTCATGTCGCTCAGTTTATCCTTGTAATAACCCTCTGAGGCAAGCACTGCTTTTAACCCCATTGGACAGTTGAAGACACTGAGACTCAAGGTCCGAGACAAGGTTACAGATGATGGAGCTGGGATTTGAAGCCCAAACAGAGCCCCTGTGCTTTACTGTCAGGCTGTGCTGCCTGCAGAAACAAAGTTATAAATGACACACAACTAAAAGAACCTCGCCAAGGCCCAGCCTACTTTAATTGTGTTTTACAGCCCAGCCTCTGAACCCAACCAACTGTAGACATTCCGTGGCTGCACTAGGCACCCAGGACCGGCTTACACACCCATCCAAGAGCCTGGCTAGCTGTGGGCAGATGGATAACAAAGGTTAACATCTGGGCCAGAGCTGGAGTTCCTAAGAGACTGAGGCTGGGTGCTGGGTGTGGGCCCTCAGCAAGATGATTAGGAAGAAGGAGGGGGACGGTAATCAGGGACCCCACATGGCAGTGGGCAGGCTCTTCAGTAACAACATACCCTCCCCAGGCACTGGGCTCAGGGAGGAAGAGATGGGGCTCCTGAGATGCCACCTCCTCCAAGCAGCCTTCCCAGAACATTCTCCTGCAGAGACCCTCACAGAGCACTATCTGGCAGTCCTAATTATCTTGGCATGAATGGTTAGAGCAGGCTTCAGATGGATGTGGGTTCAAATCCTGGCTCTGTCCACCCCTAATTGCCACTTAACTTTTCTGAGCCTCAGTTCCTTCATCTGTAAAATGGGCTAATGCTTCCTACCTCCCAAGGCTGTGGTTCCTCAGCACCTCCCTAGGCCTAAGAGGCACTTTGGCTTCAGGGGTATTTGATGGAGAGGGGTGGGGGTCAGTGAGACACAGTCAAGTGCTGCACCCTCAGGTACAGAGACTCTCTCATGAGTCCTTGGGTGAAAACACAGAAAAGATGGGGGTGACTCTAAACTCCAAGAGCTTGAAGGAGAGTGGGGGGTAGTCTTCCTGGCTGAGACCCAAGTGAGGAGAGGGCAGGGCTCTCCGGGGGCCTCCCCTCTGTCCTTCGGTTCTTCCTCCTCAGGGATCTCTTCGCTTCTGTATGTTTCTGTCTCTGTCAGTGGCTTCCTCTGAGCGTTCCCCTCTGCCTGTCTCCTCCTCTTTCTAAGACCATCTCTCAAGTCTCTCCCTCTCATATCCTGAGAGGCCCTGAGCATCCAGAGTGTGCAGGACAACCTCCCCCAGCACACAGGCCCCAGCTCCAGCCTAGCCAGCCCTCTCCATGGCACGCACCCAGTGCCAGGGAGGACTGGCCCAAAAGAACCCATTGCCCCGGTCGACTGCAGGGTTCCAGACCCTCTGAGGCTAGGACGAAAGCTGCATCCATGTGGCATGTAGAGCCCACACTCTTATTCCCAAGCCAGGGCAGCNGGACCAGAAGGGGGAGGCACCACAGTACCCGCTTTCTCTGTGAATCACGACTGAGGCCTTGGGACACGCCCCACATTCACCACCCCTAGCCCTGCTAGACTCTCCCCACAGGGCTCAGCCAGGCGCTGGGACCCTCACAGCCAGCCAGCGTCATTCCCCTAGAATGGCCACAGCAGCACGCCCCACATTCACCACCCCTAGCCCTGCTAGACTCTCCCCACAGGGCTCAGCCAGGCGCTGGGACCCTCACAGCCAGCCAGCGTCGTTCCCCTAGAATGGCCACAGCAGCCTCAGGGTTTCTTTGGAAGTGAGAAAAGCTGACAGGGCAATTTTCTGGGGAACCTGGGGTCAGGAGGGCCTGTAGGCAAGGATGTACATGCGTACGCATGTGCACGTGTGAGCACACATGGCAATCAGAGAGAGTTTCCCGAACCACAAGTCCGATCATGTATCCACTTCCCACTGTGCTTTTATAAAACAAAGACCAGAATTGTTCCAGGTAGTCTGCAGGCCTGTGCCCTGGAGAGGCACGCTCGGCCCCACTTAGGTGCCTGCTGCCGGGACCCCGCTCTCCCCAGCCACAGGTGACTCCAGGGAGCTTTTGCTGACCACTCTGGCAAGGTCAAGTATCCGCTTTCCTAGGAGCCGTACCCTTCTTCCCCAGCACTACCTCAACCGCAATTTCAGCATCCATTTGAGTCAACATTTGATTGTAGCCCACTAGAACATGAGCCCCACGAGTGCAGAAACCATGGCTCTTCTACCTGGCACCCCCATTGGGTCTGAAGACACAGAGGTGTCAAATGGGCATTTGGTGAATGAGTGAGCAACAAACACACACTGTCCCAACTCTCTCCTTTCCCTCTTCCCCTCCTGTAATAAAAAGCTCCCCTTCTCTATCTCCCTCCCCCCCTTCCCCCCCACATCCTGATGGGCCATCCTGGGCCCCAGCACACAGGGAGTTAACACCTGACACCCGCCAGCCCTCTGGAGCAGCTGGGAGGAGGCCAAGCCCCCAAGACCAGCCCCCAGAGCTCTGGCCCAGAGAAGCGTTCCCAGTTGTCTGGCTGTACAGGGCAGCCTGGAAGCAGAACAGAAAAGGACACCTTGGCCAAAACCATAAATCCCGCTCTGTTTCTCCACAGTCTCTACCCCTCCCTCCCACTGTATGTGGGGAGAAGGGCTATCACCAGCCCTGAATCCCCAGCCCTGTCACCCTCTAGGCTATAGGTCAGACCCCTCTCTCCAGTCCCTAGAGCCCCTAGGAATGGAGGCATAGCACTCCCATGCCCTGTCCCCCGGTTCTGGCCACGGGCCCTTGAAACCAGGCCTCAGTCTGGGAGCCAAGGGCCCGACAGGGAAGGCTTGGCTCCGGCTGCCCAAGCAGCTGCTTTCTAGAGGCCTGGGCCAGCCAGGAGGGAACTGACCACCAAGCCGGGAAAGCCCAGGTGCCCAGGCCCTGCCCGGGGTGGCTTCCAGGCCTGGCTGCCGTTACTGGAGGGCCACAGCCACAGCAGGGCCTCAGCACGGTCCTCATGGAGGGAGCTGGGCTGGAGTGGAGCCTGGGTGGACGAACAGCAGGGCAGGTAGCCCAGGGCTGTCCATGTGCACGTGTATACACGTGTGTTTGCATGTGCCAGGAACACACTTTTAAGCATCTGCGTGTTGGCTTCAAGTTATGAGGGGGAATATGGAATGATTCTTTATTTTCTGAACTTTCCACAATCTTATGTAACTTGCAATGTAAACCGATTTTTTTCCCTCCCCAAGTAATTCATGTCTATTATAGAAAATATGGAAAATGCAGAAGCATAAAGAATAAACCCAAAATTCCCAGGAATCCCAACGTTAACATTCAGAGGTATTTTTTTCTCCTCTCAAAATATTTATGTTTGTGCATAATTTTTAAAAATAAAATTGGATCAAAATAAACCTCTTATTGTACAACCTGGTTTTTTAACAGCATAGGGCGAACCAACAACATGGAGAGGCCGCGGCCTCCAGCAGCACTCTGGGGCTGTGAAGGCTGCTCTGAACCCTACCCGCATCGCACATGCACAGACACACTCTCACGTATGCACACTCATACGCACATACTCATACACACTTTCTCTCACACACACACATGCTTCCTCACACATATATACAGGTACACACACACACACACACACACACACACACACACACAAGCATCCTGGCAACTCCAGGCAAAAGGAGTGAGTCGGTGCCAGGCCAGAGAGGAAAGTCAAGGCCCCAGGAAAACCAGCTCCAGATGTGTCTGGCGCTTCCATCTGGGCGTCGCCCTGGCTCAGGGGCCCGGTGGGGCCTGCCAGGGTGGGTCTGAGGAAGGGGGACTGTCTCCACTCGGGCCCAGAGCCCAGCCTTCTCTTGCCCACCTTCGGGGAGCTTGGAACACGGCGCTCCACAGAGCCAGCTGGGAACGCCAGGAATCTCCTCACCGCCCCCATCGGTCTGTTCTCAGCCCCACTTCCCCTCAGCCACACCCCACCACCAGGCCTAGCATCTCCGGTGGGTCTCAGGCTGGGATGCCCCCAGAAGAGTCTCTGTTGGAGGCAGTCAGGAGGCGCTGGCTATACTTACAAAGAAGAGCAAGTTGAAGAGGAAGAGGAAGTATTTGGTGACCTTGATACAGGCTGATCCCATCGTGCTGGTCTGGGAGCTCCTTGGGGAGGAGAGAGAAAAGGCAGGTTAGTGCAGGTGGGACAAGCGCGGGGCCGGGGGGGAGGGAACCAATGCTGACGGGAAACCACCATCTGCTGGCCCCAAATCCTCCCGACTTGCCCTTACAACAACCCCATGCGTTAGGTACTAACACGAAGTCCTGTTTTATGGCACCTTGAGGCCCAGAGAGGATAANGGTGGAGGTGGGGACCAGGCAGGTTTATTCTCCTCGATTTATAATCAAGGAACCCAAGGCTCAAGAGGCCACATGCCTTGCCCAAGGCCCCCAGCTTTCTCTTGTTGCTGCCCTGGGAACAGTGGCTGCGGGGAGCGCGGGGCAGGAAGAACAGAGGGCAGCCTGGAGACCACCTCAGGGGGAGCCCAGGAGCTCCGTCCCTCCCACGTGCCCAGGAGGCCTGGAGAGCGGGGTGAGACCGGGCCCACCGCCTTTAAAAAGGCCTTTTCCCTTCAGGTTCACACAAGTCCCCCTTCCCCAGCTGGGCCTCATCTGCAGGAATAAACACCATCAAGGGCATGTTTAGTCTTCCACCAGGATTTACAATGTGCTGGGAAAGAAAAAATAAATCATTCATTCCAACTCGGAGGATAGAGTGACGCCAGAACTTCCCGAGCAAAGCCAGAAAACTCCCCCCCCTGCCTTTCAGAAAAGGAGGCGGGCCAAGGTGAGGCGGGCTGGGACCAGGGGGCATGAGGTGTGGAGCCTGGGGGGGGTGGGGAGGCAGCGAAGGGGACAGTGGGTGTGAGGGACAGAGTCTAGACTGGAATCAGGAGAGCTGATTCTCTACACAAGCCCTGCTCTGGGCTGCGGGGCGCCTCTGAGGCGTAGGTCCTGGTCGTCAGCCAAGAAGAGATTATACCAGCTCGTGGGGAGGCAGCGTGGTGTAGAGCGAGCACGGGCCTTGGGTCAGAGGGACCGGGATGGAAATCTCCACTTTGAGGCCTCCGAACTATGTGTGACTGTGGCCAAAAGTCACTTTGCTTTCCTGGGCCTCAGTTTATTAAAGTGGACACTGCTTGTAAAACGGAACCGTGCAACATCAGGTTGCTAAGTCGGCTCCTGGTATGTGGTTGGTGTCCACAGATGGGCGCCATCTTTGTTATTGTGAGATGGGGAAACAAACACACAGGGGAAGAGAAAGTGGACAGCCCGAGATCCCTGCAGAGTTGATGCACTTCTGAGTCACAGGCACCAGCTCACTGGAGCCCAGTTCTTGACCGCCCTGATTATAAGGTACCACTGACTGGGTCCCAGAGAAGCCCAGGTGCTGTAGGGCAGAAATGAAGACTTGATCCTACAACCCTTTCCCTGGGAAAGGAGTATCCCTGCCCCAAACATTTGCTTCCTCTCCGATAGCCAAGGAAGCTTCCTTTTGGCTACTGAAACCCTACTTCCCCTTTTGCCTTGGCTGCCAAGAAGTTTAGTGTTCAAGTTAGCTCTCAGCTCCGTGAGCACCTCATCCCCTGGCTTCAGGAACAACGGTCTTCTTCTCTCTCAGTTTGATTTTGATTTCTGATCTCTCTCGTATTGATTTTATCTATCCTGTGCCTAAGTCAGACATCAGCTCCAATTCTCCTGGGAAACAGGCTAGGTGTGGATTATAAGTAAGTAAGGCAGATTCAGGTAGGAACCACCATAGTGAAGATTTCACCAGCGTGAACCCAGAAGCCAAGCTGCCGGGGTTCAAATCCCGGCTCTGCTACTTACTAGCTGTGTGACCCTGGGCCAAGTTGCTTAACCTCTCTGTGTCTCAGCTTCCACATCTGAAAATGAGGGTATTCGTCTCTAGGACCTCATCAAATTGTTGTGAGGACCAAATAGTAAATGCAGTCTGTGCACAGCATTTAGCACCAGTATCGTTCTAAGGTCTAATAAGTGTTAGCTATTGACAGGGTAATGTTTTCTCAGGTCTCTTTTAAGAGGGATCTGAGGCAACTTGACCTTCCAGTGTTAAAATGCGGGCGCCTACCTGGTGCCAGCTTTGCCACCCACTCGGTGGAAAGAGCGGTAGCACTGGAGGAAGGCAGGCCCCCAGGCTCAGCTGGGCCACGGGTAAACTCCCACTGCAGTTACGGAGCCTGGCCTCTCACCCGGCCTGGGTGCCCTCATCCCCTCAACCTGTAGGATGAGGCTTCTCACACTATCTTGAGAGAGTGCGGTAAGGGTCAATGAAAGAATAAATGTAAAGTGGCCAACACTATACCCAGTATATGGCGCGTGCCAATCCGATGTTGGGGGTTAGAGTTACTATTAGTGGTGCTGTTATTGTTATTCATTCCTCTGAGCATCTGTTTCCCTGTCTGACCACATAACACTTATCATCCAGAGCTGTTGTGAGGATGAGACAATGTGTGTGAAGCTTCTAGAAGACATCATGTGCACATAGTGGGTGTTCCATACAGAGCTGTGATAGTCACAACTGACCGGCTCACCCAACAGCCGTTCCTGGCTCCTTTCNGAGATTAAATTACATAATGTGGGTAAAGTGCCCGGCACGAAGCAGGCTTTCAATAAATGGAGGTTACTGTCACAACTCATAATGCTGCACAGTAATTTTCTACTCACTTGTCCACCTCCCCTGTGGGCTGTGATACCTTGTGGGGAAAGACACTGCATTATTTATGAGAACAAAGTAGCCTCCCAGAAAATGTTGCCGACTAGAGGATGGGTGGATAGAGGAATGGAGGGAGGGAGGGACAGACGGATAGAGGAATGGAGAGGTGAAGGCGAGGGGGAGGAACTTCCACACCGAGACTTTTTAAGTGCTCTGCCACCCAAAGGGGGTCTGAGATCCACTTGTCATAGTTCAGCTGAGACTATTTTCAGTCCTCTTTTGTCCCACCCAAGGGGTAGGGAGGGGGTCGTGTGGGGTGAGCACCCTGAGCCAGCTCTGAATGCCAGGACCTGCTGCCAAGGCGCCCTCACCTTCCCCAGAGCCCCTGGGCACAGGAAGTGGGGCTGGAGAGGAGAGGGTGTCTGTCAGAGAACCCCTTCTCTGTGTTGGCCCCCTGTGAGCTTGCACCTAGAGAGTAGGAGGTTTGGTTTGTCCCTCAGCTGAGCACGGGGGAGGAGCCTTCCAGCCTCAACCTAGACCCCAATGTCCCCACATACCCTTGGGGAAACCTAGTGATGCAGTCACATTGTGCCTCTAGGCCCAGAGTTAAGAGGCACAGGCTGAGCCTCTGATCTGGTAGGACACTCAGTAGGAGACCCAGCACAAGTGACTGCCCCCCACTCCAACCTCCTTATCTGTCAAATGACAGGACCACAGCAGCATTTTGCCAAGCGGTTCCTCAGAATATGAGTCCTAGGAGATGTGCTGTTAACAGAAAATGTTGCTGTCACAGAGTTCGTGGAGCACCAATTCTCCCTGAGAGTCACTGTCCATTAGGCTATAAACACTGCTGACTTAAAACCATTGTTCACTGAATAGCCCTCAGCACCCCGTGGCACACATGTTAGGAAATAAACACCAACTCATAGGCTCGAGGTCCTTGGGGGCTGGCACGCCAGGATTCTAAGTGCTGCAGATTGAGAGGAGGGGAGGAGGTGGCCCTTCAATCCACCATCTCACTCCGACTAGACACCGAAAAGCCTCAGTCGAGCCTCCCTCCCTCTTCCTCATCCCCCTCATCCCACAGCCCAATCCAGCACCTCTCCCGGCCCCACGCCTCACCTCCTACCTGGACCAGGACAGATCCTGGGCTGGTCGCAAGTTCCACTCCACCCTCACCACTCGCCCATCCGTTACCCACACCTTATGAAGGGCTTTGGAAAATGCAAACCAGACTTTGTCACTCCCCTGCCTGCAACCCTGCGATGGTGATGTACGCGACATGCTTGCCGTAGAATTAACGCTCTCATGTGGCCGGAGGCGCCCCGCCTGGTTTGCCTTGTCCCTTCTCTTTCAGCACCTCCCTCCTTCCCATGCTCACATCAATTCCTCAGGCCACAAAGGCCACTCTTTCCTGTTGTTCAGGTATAGCAGGCCCTTTCCCACATCAGTGCCTTTGGCCTGTGGTTCTTCCAAGAGCACCCCGCCCCCAAAGCCAGGCTGGCTCCTTCCCTCCTGTAGGCGAGTTCCCTCCTCCCAGAGGCCTTCCCTGAACACCTGATCTACGCAGCGGGCTTCCCCTCCAGCTGCCCAGTAGAATCAAAATATGCCAATACCCAGCGCCCCGACCCTGCCCCACCAGGTCATCAGAATCCCAATGACTCTTAAGGAGCAGCAGCTTTCGCACCTGGGCCTGTCACATGCCCCGTTCACTGCAGTTATCTTATTGGTTCACTAGTGTATCTGGAGCCCCCATTAGAATATGGATCCTTAGGGGAGGGGCTGTGTCTGTCTCATTCACCCTATATCCCAGAGCCTAGAACAGTGCCTGGTATGTAGCAAGTACTTGATAACTATTTGCAGGAAGCAGGAAAGGAAGGGGGATAGTCTGGAGAGGTAAGGAAAAGGTTCTTAAAGAAGGCAAACCAACTTTGATCCTGCAACTGGAGGTTTCATGTCCTTAGAAATGACATCGCTGGCTTGGGGGGGGGTTGCTTCCCCCCAAGATTGGGTTTCAAACTCCTTTGGGTCAGAAAAGCCAATGGAAGCTGTGAACCATCTCCCAAGAAAGATGCACACAGCTAGGCAAGCACATGCTGTCATCAGGTCAGGGGTCATTAACCACAGAAAGCCAGGAGGTTCTTACACCCCCCATCTCCTGTTTGTTTAGAGTAGTGGTTCCCAATCATGGACGCACCCTGGAACTACCCCGGGAACTGTAAAACTTGCTGGTGCTTGGGCCCCTCCTAGAGGTGCTGATTTAATTGGTCCTGGGGTGAAGCCCAGGTATCAGGGTTTTTTAAAGCTCTCCTGGGGATTCTAATGTGTGACACCCACTGCTCTGGGCCCCACCCCCAGCACGGCTCAGTCCCTCTGCTTAGAGTGAGATGCACGTGGGTCTGGGGTCCCGAGTACTGCAGGTCCTGGC